GCGATCTTCGCAGAGCCTCTTTTCCGGCGTCTGATTAACTCTCAGCCTCGAGATCCAGCAACTGGCAGGCCTCAGCCTGAAGCGACGGCACTGGTCATGGCAATTGGCGCAATCCTGACCCCGATCGGCCAGCTTGTGTTTTCATGGACATGCCTGCCAGCGACCATCCATTGGGCTATTCCGATTGCTTTTGGCATCCCTTTCGGTGCAGGTAACACCATCAGCTTCATCTACGGTTCGAACTATCTGGCTGGCGCGTACTCCATATACGCTGCCAGTGCCCTCGCCGGAAACGCTGTCATTCGAAGTATTGCTGGAGGTGTCCTGCCCCTGGCTGGTCCTAAGATGTACGCCGCCATGACTCCCCAGTGGGCTGGAACACTTCTGGGCCTCCTCGAGGTAGCTATGATTCCAATTCCATTCGTGTTCTGGCGATATGGGGCCAAGATCAGAGCAAAGAGCCCGGCCATTAGGGCTTTGAGAGAGGAGCAGGATCGACTTGATGCGAAGAGGGCCAAGTATCAGAAGAAGCTTGAAAAGAAGCAACGACGAGAGGCGGAAAATGCAAAGACAGAAGAAGGGGTGTTGGAGAAGACAGCGGGCGATTGAGGACAACAAAAGCATTCATGATCATTTACAGTTTAGCATTTTAAATGGAAGCTAGGAACAGACGCCAATGTGTGAGTTGTTGTGTTGCTGCTACGGAGAGAATAAGGTTTGGGTGACTGCTTGTTTCATGTTGAAAGCACAACAGAGACCGGGAGGGTGTTGGGATCATCACACTTGAGTTTGCCAACAAAAATAAAGCTATATAAATAACATTGGCCACTTGAAATAAAAATAAACGATTACTCAATCCCATTTGGAACATAGGAACAGCCCGATGCGGGGGTCGAACCCGCAACCTTGAGATAGTGTACTCATTTAAGAGTCTCACGCTCTACCGATTGAGCTAACCGGGCCTCGGTATCGAGGCTTACTTGTTGAACAGCGAGACACGAAAGTTTGAATATGATGACCTCGGGTTACTTCCATGGCACAAGCCATAGGGTAACAAACATAGAGGAAGTAAGATCAGAAAACACTACAAGACATACAGTATGCACAAACGAATTCATGCAGAATTCTGGCGTAGAGAACCATGATTTGTGTAAACAAAAATTTTCATTTTCATTGTGATTTTGTACTGCCAGACTATGGTACGCCGACCAAGCGTCCCGTAATCCGAATGACTTTTGAGACTCCCTGGTTGACCGCCTTCACAAGAAGAACCACAAAGTCGACCTATCCACGCCGTGCAGGTGTCCAATAAAGTACAACCCAATATCACAGAGTCCGCTATGACTCGACAACACTCCCAATCTGACAGATTCCGTCCTATTACTACATGTCACCCCCGTTAAAGAATCACTCAAAAGTTTTGTCCCCTATCAAACTCCCAAGTCGTCCTTTAGTTCCCTTTCTCCAATCCCTCGAGCTCCTTAAGCACAGACGACTTGGTGTTGATCTTCTTAAGCTGGGTATCCTCGAGCTTCTCTCCGCCAGCCAGACGCATCTCAAGGTCCTCGATGGCGCGAACCTTCTTCTGGAGACTGCGGATCTTCTTGGCGTTAGGGTTCTGTGCGGCATCAGGAGCAGCACCGCCAGCACCCTGGCTTTGGTGAGCGTGGTGTCCATGGCCGTTGCGGTGGGTGTTACTGCGGCTTCGGGCCTGGTTGTTACGCGACTGGCTCCGGTTGCGGTGATTGCGTCGCTCAGGGCTACGACCCTCGTGGCCGGAGCCGTGGCCTCGGTCATGAGGAGGAGGCGCCAGGCTAGCTCCGCCGTTAGGTTCGCCCTGGGGCCGGCCCTCACCCTGGGCATTCTTCTTGTTTCTCTTCTTCTTGTTCTTAGACTTGGACGAGTTTTCATCGCCCAAGGGTTCAGCTCCAGGAACAGTCCTAACTGTAGGAGCTTGCTCAGCCAAGTCGGCACCAGGCACCGCGCGGCGAGGGCGACCAAAACCGTTGGGACCGACGTTGGGCAGACCGTTGCTCACAACGTGGGCGGCACCGCCCTCATCCTCACGCTTGAAGTGCAGAGGAGTGGCCAGACCACGGGCGCCTGGGGGGCGGTAAGCACCAGCAGGCTTGCTGGGAGTCTTGACCGAGCCCAGGTAGGCCGTGGCAGAGGCATGAGGCGTAGGAACGGGGGTCAAAGGATCACCAGGAGCAATGCTCTCGGGACCCTGAGGTCGCCAGATAACATTGTATAACTCGACCATATCCTCGTTATACATGAGACTGCCACTAACATGCCACAACTTGACACCATTGTCAACACGGAGTCGGGGGGAGGTTGTGGCAGTCATGATGTAGCGACTATCGGGACTCCATTCGCAGACGCTGGGGTTACCGCTCTCGAAAGTGGTGACCTTGCGGAAATCCTTCTCGAGGTCGTAAACATCGATCTGACCAGCAAGGTTGCCGAAGCCCGCTACCAAAACAAAGCGACCGTTTGGCGAGAAAGTAATGGTGTTTCGGGGGGCAATCGGGAAGGAGTGCGTTGCAACGGCCCGGTGGTTGAAGATGGTGGCCTTGGCAGGCATGGTGCCATATACAACACCGAACTCTCTCGAGTTATGGGACCAAGAAACATCATGAATGGGACCCTCCTTATCTAGGGACACGCGGGCATCAAAAGCACCGGTAGTGCTGAGCAGATACAGCGTGGTTTCACCATAGTAACTCTTGCCTGAGCGATCAACATCAGTTTGGGCCAGCACTAGAAGGCTGGAGCCAAGTTTGTTCCACTTCAGTTGAACCTTGTCTCCCTTGAAGAAGGTCTTTTGGGAGATTGGGTTAGTGAAAAGAGGGACGTTGAAAACCTTGACGGCAGCAGGTTGGCCCTGGAAGTTGTCAGCATACATCTCTTGAAACAAAAACTTTTGATTTGCTGACCTTGCGCTCAGGAACAAAGACGGCAACGGCGTGATTTTGGCTGCCAGGAGCAAGAGCAAAGTTGGTAGCACCCTCAACTCGGAGCTTGTTCCAGACCTTGACGAGATCATGACTCTCGTAAAACTGGACTTCATTTGTAACGAGACGAGCACAGTATTTCTCATCAGCTGTGTACTGAAGGTTCCAGCCTTGCTGCTGCTTCTGAACAAAACGGCCGAGGGGCTGCTTGTCCTGACCAGAAACACCCTCCTCTACAACACGCCAGACCTTGAGGTTCTTGGTAGCATCTCCGTTCTCATCCTTGGCAGGTCGTTCCCAGGTGATGACGAAAGTACCGCGAGGAGAGAAACCTAGTTCGTAGACGTTGAGGATGGGGAGGGACAGGACCTGCTGGGCAGTCGAGGGATCAATGATAGTGACAGCCTCGGGAGAGGCCCAAGCGAAGTAGCGACCACATGGCGAGTAGGTACAGCACCGGAGGTTGCCCTCAGGCTTCTTGAACCCAGAGAGAGGTTGATAGACGGGGGCAGCGTCGGTGATGCCGATGTCCTTCTGGGTTCGGTGGGCAAACTGCAGCGGAGACGCCATGGCTAGTGAAAGTCACAGTGTCTCGTGTCTTGCGTAAGTCTTTTTTGGGGCCGGTTGTCAAAAAGTTCTGTCGTGTCGTGTGCGGGCACTTATCGACGTCGATGTAGATCGCGATCGTGGGGCAGAAAGCTTAGGCTCAGATTCGGATTGGGCGAATAAGCGGGAGAGCAAAAAGCCAAAAGAAGCTTTGTGCTTTTGACTGCGCAACGAAGAGCAGTACAAATAGTCGCTTGAGAGGGGAACCCAGAGCGTTGGATCCGACTCGTGAAGGGTTAGATCGAGAGATGTTGTTTGAAGTCGTCGCGGAGCAACAAACAAAAAAGTGGCGGGGAATATCGATCGATTGCGATTGAGCGAAGCCGAAAAAGCGAAGTTGTAAGACAAGAACTGACTGATTCGATGACCGGAAGGAAGATAAAAAGAAGACGGCAAGTCACCCAAAGGGAGGGAGAAGGAGGAATTGGCGCGGCAGTGCCGTGATGTTTGTGGTTGAAGGGAAACGAAACAAGAGGGAAGAGAAAGAAGTTGACGGCTTTGGCCACCAGCATAGGTAGATATGGTTTTTTTTGTTAGGCCGGACCAGGTTCCCATTCTTTTTTCCGTAGGTAGGCAACCCAGAGCCCAAGCCCAGTGGAGGCTCCCATTGAGGTGGCCTCCCTTTTTTTCTTACTGGGTACAACCTAGCCACACACCGCATAATCACCGCCAACCGTTCGCCCTTGACTCAGCCTTTACACTGTCTCACTCGAGTCCAGAAACCTTTTTTACAGTGCATGCCGCCCCAGATTTCTCTTTAATCGAAGACCACAGCCAATCATGCTGAGATTGTCGAGTGCTCCGTGAACTTTTCACCATTTGTTAGACTCTTCCAACGGGAACACCGAGTCACTCCTTTATTCTATTCTAGATGCCAAGCCATTACCTTTAAGCCGCATATGCTTTTGATATGCAGAGTTGTTTTGAGCACGTTTGTTCGATTCATCAGTTCGGAATTCAATGGAACATGCTATCATTGGCTTTAGTCACGTCATCAATCGTATTCCCCCCTTTAGTTGTGGTATGTCAAGCCTGTGGTGTCTTTGTTGATCTTCTGTGACAAGATGCTACGTCAACCTACCACTTTACGCTTGGTTAAGCTTCCGCAATTGCAAGATAGTTATGCGAACCACCATCCAAAACAAAATCAATGGACACTGTTATTCTTCAAGCAATTGGCATGGCCTGACATCTTTTGCGCCAAGCACCTGTTACATCTCTCATTATCATCGCTACGTGGCACCAATTGACCTTACCAAACCAAGTTTATAGCTCCGATGTGGTCGATAGACTGTCTCAATGAGTCTGCACGTGCCGAGCTTTTCTAACGCGGACAAGTTGCTGTTCGTTTATTAGATACGAGTCGTAAATATCTTGCTTTCTTAAAACCATGGACCGGTTATATAATCAAATTCTTATAGAACGGGAATGGCACGATCACCTGCCCTTGAATTTCTCCTTCCAACCACCCTTCTCAAATAGCCATAAGGCCTCAGTAGCGTAGACTCGACTTCCTCGATGGCCGCCCTCGGTCATAGCAGCCTCAGTCAAGCTATCGAGAACCCTTCCCTTCTTGACAGCTGCCCAGATTCCCATAGCTATGGGGTCATCCTCACTCTTACCCCACTCGCCGAGTCCGAGACGGTAGAGAATTCTTCCCAGCGTTTGGAAAGCCATACATCTTTGCGCAGGAACAGCACTTCTGGCAAGATGAGCTAACTCCGCAACTGTGTATCCTGCAGCCTCTGGGGCGTCGCCATGGTGGTGCAACCCCTTCGAAGAAGGTATGGATCGGCTGACCCTTGGTGATAAGAATCGGCCCTGGAAGTCGAAGCGCAGAGCGTTGACAGCGATCTCGGGGTGCGGATAGTATGAAGAGTCTTTGTCAGCTGGACTGCCCTCGGTAGGGATAGGTGCCATCCATGCGAGCTTGCTAGGGTCGGCCGGTAGATTGGGAAAGTATTTCTTGTGTAGCGATTCTAAGAAATTCGGATCGGAAGGGTCGAGATCGGCCAAAGCTGGCGGTACAGGAAAGTGAACCGACTTGGGTTGGTCGGTGATAGGGAATAGATCGGGTGGTATTTGTGCCGGAGCCTTGTCCTCGTCATAGTGATCCGGGATCTTTCTTGATGAAGGCACTTGCGAAACTGAGGGGCTACTTTGCGATATCGATTCTATTGAGACTTTGTGAGCTTGTGGTGTCACTGGCGTACTCTTCAGTGCTTCGTTCTCGGCAGTATCTTCGATTTTAATCGTAGGCGGAGGGTCTGGCGTTTCTTCTTGTTTCTCTTGTTTTGGTGCATCGAAAGGCGAGGGACCAGACTGCTCTTCTATATTGGCTCGCGATAGCAACCTTTGAATGAGAGCTGGGTTCAAGCCATTCATGATATCTTCTTGGGCCTGAGCGATCTCGGCAGGGGTCATATTTGCAATCTTCTGCTGGTTCTCCTGGTCTATGCGTTGTCTCTCAACAGCCTTAAAATCCACATCTGAAGACGAAGCTTGAGGCGTCTCTGCGGTCTTAGGTTGTTCGGCAGGCGCTGTTGCTCCGGCTGCCTCGGCGCGCTTCTGCTTGAAAGCGGAGGTCTTCCATCTTCTTTTATGTTGTGGGAAGCCCGTAGAGGATATAGGTAGGTCGTTAAACTCAACGGGTTTCTTTGTTGAAGTATCGTGCTCGACGATGTCGTTGATCAAAAGTGTTGGATCCATTTTGGTGATGTTGTATATGTGATATAGATGAGAGATCTCTCAAGCTTTGGGTCTGACGTCCTTTTTTTTTGTCTTTGGTCAGTGGATGGAACCACGGAGAAATGTTAGTGGGTCAGGGACCCTGGGTGACACCACATTCAGTAGCGCGTTTAGACGGATTGATCCGTTCTTCATGTGCCACGTGCTAGGAACCGAAAGACCTGAATTCAGCATTAATGGAAATCTCAATGCTGGGCTTCCCAGAATAGATAAGATAAAATACCAAATAGTCAAAGTTATACTAGAGTTCGATTCAGCGAATGATTAAATATTCTGAGTTGTTATCGATGGCTGCCTTTTGTGAGACGAAAACACGCTTATGACTCGTAAAATGTACCGAAGATTATGGAAATTCGATTTCCAATTACAGGGTTTGTGTTCTTTTGAATTGTGCCAACCATTACAAGAAAATTCTTGATCCTTTTGCGAGAACTCCCCTAATCTCGCAGAAACTCACAATTACTGAAACAGGACTTTTGGGTTTCGTTTCTTGAGACAAGCTGGCTGACGATTTTAATTGTGAGGCCATGTCGCACCGCCACAGATTAGGACCGGGATAGTGGTGCATTAGCGCCGATCGATTCTCGTTTCTCTTGAGTTCCAGAACTCTTGTGCCACAGAACCATGCTCAGACTGTAATTTGTGGCTTTTTATCGTCATGATCCCTGGTTTGGTACTCGGTGCAATTTACTTGTGACAGAATAAGCACGGAGAGAGTTTAAATGTTTATTATACGCACCCATTCATGTTCACTTTTTCCGTGTTTGTATTTTCGGTAAGTTATCAGGAATTGGATGCCTATGAACCTCCTGTGGAGTCAACGTTAACGGTGTCGGTTATTGAGTTGAATGAATGGAACCAGATCATTTCAGGGCGTTGACTCCCACAGGAGAAAAGACATAAGTGGCGCTCGTGCCGCCCTTTTCAGATTGCCTTGAATGCTTCTCTAGAGCATAAGCTATGTGTCCATACAAGGAACAGTGGATGATGGGTGCAATATGTACAGTATGAAGAAAAGTGCCGTGTGGTGTTCCAGTCCCGGCAAGATCATTTGATGGCAGAGTGACCTCTGAAAGACCCAGGTAAAGTAGTAATTTAGAACATCAATGGAATTAAGTCACAAACGCTGACTCTGAAACAAACGGCTGTCAACTGTGAGCTGGGATAGAATTCAGAACAACGAAAATGACCAAATACATAATAGCCACATTAAAGTAAGGTACCTACCTTATCTTAGCCGAAAAAACAAACTTGTGGCTGATGCAGCCATGACTGCAGCCGCGTCAAATCCCTGTCAACGTGCCGCGCCTAAGCTTGGTTCAACGTTTCTGGTTTCGGGATGAGATGGTCCACACCTATTCAAAGGGGGACCTGTTCATCGTTGCGCTGGGCTGGCCCGGACTGGGATGTTTGTCACCAGGTAGGGAGGTGATTAGTCAAGTTGATTGCTGACTCTGAACGAATCCATCAATGTCACAAGGCCATTATTGCTTGTCATTTGGTATGACTGTTGCAGTTCAGAGGTGAGCGGATAAATGACGTGTTGCAAGATATAGCCTCTGGGGGTAGTACCAAAAGATACATGTCACAAGTCGTGAGATATTCCTGGAGTCTATAGCCCACTGCAGGCAGGCAGTTTTCCCCACGCTACCTAAGAATGGAACCTCACCCCTGGGGATCAAGAAAACTTCAGAGCTTGGGACAGGGTGTCAAAAATACTCAGTCAAAGGTCACACTAAGCTTGTGCTGAACTTACCTCAGTATTTCATCAGAGCCTTTACCTTTTCTTGACCCCCTAGCTCACCTGCAAAAGCTGACCCGACCCCCCCTGTCCTGTTCTACGGATGTTACACATGGAATCTGAGTCGGTCGGTACCTTTACCTTTACCTTTGCAGTAAAGAAAAAAAGTATCCGTGCGTCAACGGGAATGGAAGTCTGTTTTCTCTATCACGTCCGCCTATGCATGTCTTTTTGAGTCTACCATTAACTTACATCTTACTCATTTTCCCCCCCGCTAAGCCCGGCTCTGCTGGCTCTTTTGACTTGTTCTCTCTGGTGAATTTGACTCTGTACTGTCCCATCCGTCCCCAGCATCCAATGCCATGGCATGACCTAATTACTTGGTAGACCCCCTATCATCATTAGTTGGGTTCTTTGGTGTTGTCGGATACCTATTTTGAGTCCCATCTCATTAGGTTGTTCTAGAGTTGGCCACGCCCCTCGGCGCTTTAAAACAATTTCCCTTTTGTCCTTTCCCTTTCCCTTTCTTCTCGTGATGCTTGCCATGGTCCGCCCCCCCTCCCCCCTCGTTTCTTCTCGTACCGTACCTCGTGCCTTGTCTGTCTCGTCTCGTCTCGTTCTTGTTGTTTCCGAGTCGTAGCATTCTTATTTAGCTGCTGGTAACAACAGAAGCTGTTGGCCTGCCCCGTTTTTCTCCTTCCTGGCCTGGAAAATAAGAAATATTGTCGTCGCCCCGAAAAAAAACGTAGCCATCCCCATCTCATTTCTCCTCCCTTTTCTTCCCTTCTTTTCCTCCTCTCCCTCACTCAAACATCCACCTCCCACATAATTTTCCCAACAACGACCAGTGGATTTTATCGTCGAATTCGTCAGATTTCATCAATTTGACACTATTCGCACATCTTAATCATCTCCAAATTGTCGTTATTTTCTGCGCCTGGTGTAGCAGTGCCTCTTGACGCCCTTGAAGCGACGTATACCCCGCAATCGGCTCCCTTTTCCGCATCCGAGGCTGCATTCACAGTCAAAGTGGTTTCCTAACCCGAGATCTTGAGGCTATTCAGAGATTCAACTTTCTCCACCGCCCGCACCTGCACTCCACATTCTGGCCACTCACAGCTCGTTTCACCTCGTCACTCTCCGACTGAACGCTTTCCCGCTTGCAACCATTCCGTTTCTGACGAGGCCCGCACGCCACAGATCCTGGCATTTCTATTCGCTGTACCTGGTACTCAACTTGATGCTGCATTTCGGTGGCATTTAGTGTGTACCACTCACTACCACCCTGTCGACCGCTATTCGTTGCCTTATTGACTTCGACATTTGGTGGTTTGAATCACAGCCTTGCCTTACGCGACGCTTTATCTGATCCTTGGATTTTGATGCTGCAAATGCGAGGTTCCTTTGCCCGCGTCTAGCATTGATATCCCCTGTTTCCAATTTTAGCAGCCGGTTTGTCTAATGCAATACCGGCCTGTATTGGTGTTTCCATCAACAATCTTGTAATACGCGCTACACAAGGCTATTCATTGCCTCAACTCACTACACCTCGGCATGGCTGCTACAGGCGCCGACACGTCCATGTCACGATACGACTCATCAGCCGGCGAACTCTCATCGCCTCCTTCCGGATCACTATCAGAACCTGGTTCACCATCACGAAATGGGTCCGGTAGCCGAGCACCACAAGACTATGACGAGATCGTCGTCGTTTCTAGCGATGGCCAATATCAACACATCGGTCACCAGAATCACAGCGAACGCCCTCCACCGCCTATGCCACCCCAATCAGGCACGGGCCCCCCTAGACGATACGCACTTGTCGACAACCAATGGGTTCAATTAACAGCTGCAGGCGTCCCGCGCAAGAAGCCCGGACGCAAACCTGGAACCATTGTGAAACCTCGAAATTCGGACGGTGCCGATGCAGCAAAGGCTGCTCGAAAGCCTCGAAAGCCTCGCGATCCTAATGCACCACCAATGCCACGCAAGAGAAAGATTGCTCCCGCAGATGGTGAGAGTGAAATTCCAGCAGATTCAAAGTCTCTTGCCGCAGCTGCATCATCCGCCGGTCAGGGACACATGTCAGATGTCTCTCATATATCAGCATTGTCACCTGCTCATCATAATCGCCAAACATCGTCTTCATCACATCAACCTGAGCAGCGTTACTCACCAAAGATGTTGAAGCGTGAACACTTTATGCAGAACATACTAAACTCGGATACGCCTGTAGAACGACCGCAGTCTCAACCCCAGCCTCAGCATAATAGCTCTACATCTATACCTGTTCGCACCAGCGGTCAAAGCTACGACCCCATCCGTGGTAACTACGACCCGGTTCGTGAGACAATGGTTTCTCATAGCCCTTACCCCTCTACTTCTGGTTCACCAAGAGCTGCTTCTCAGATGCCTAATCGATCGCCTACCATTGCGAGCCTTCTTGGTGGTAGTGAATCACGCAGCTCATATCAGCCACCCTCGAACCAGCCTCGCTTCCAGGCACATGAACCATCTCAACCATCATCACCATCCAAAGAGCCCCGCGACATATTGACGCCAACTCCTTCGCGACCACCAGTACAGGAAACAAAGAAGGATCCGCCTCCTCCACCGCCACCCGTTCAAAGGCCAGTCATCAAAGAGTCTAATTTCACCACCATTTCCAATGGTCCTATCAAGAAGTCATCGCCAAAGCAGAAGCCTCACACTGGAGTTTCCACGCCAAGGACCGACACCCTCGATGACATGGGAGAAAGTGAAGGACGCTCGATCCTCGACTTTGGTCGAGCTAAGCCAGGCGAAGAAGCCCAGGCCCCGACCATTGTTCTCAGTGTACCCATCCAGGCCGGCGAGACAAACAGATATGTCAATTTCATGCGCATGGCTGAGGAACGGTATGGATGGGATGCTCTTCACCCTCGTCTGGCCGCCAACCGAGACCGCAAGGCTCGCATTGCTGCGGCGGCTGCCTCTCTAGAAAAGGCGGAATCGGGGCGCGAATCTGGTGATGAAATGTCCGTCGATCTCTCCGATGCCGAGGCTAGCAACCCCGACAACGGCGCGACCAGCGGCCCTGATGCCCAGGCCAAGCCCAAAAAGAAGCGTAATTTCAAGGAGGATCAGTACGATGTCGATGATGATTTTGTCGACGATTCTGAGCTCCTATGGGAAGCCCAGGCGGCGGCAAGCCGTGACGGATTCTTTGTCTACTCTGGCC